TCTCAGAAATCATCCTCCATCATATCATATAATTTAGAAGATCATCTCTGACAGAGGTAAAGTCCTGGGGCCTCATTTATAAAACTTTGCGTAGGATTTGTGTCAGAAGTGGCGTACGGATGAAACATAGGACGTGCGTACGCACAGAAATATTCGGATTTATAAAACCGTGCGCACGCACATCCTACGCATTTTTCCCTTAATAAATCACAATCAATTCTTAAAGTAGCGCAGCTTTTGCGCTTCATGTCACGCCCATAGTTGCCCATAAATAGTCCGTGAAACGCCCACAAGTTAATATTCATTGATTGCGAAATCATGGCAAACATAGAGAGGAAATCAATAAAACGTAACTTCACTCAATGTGAAGTAGAAGTTATCGTTGGCGAGGTGGAAAAGAGGAGAAAATGTTGTTTGGAGGGCACAGTGTGGGCATTAGCTACTAATGCCAAAAAGGCACTTGAGTGGCAAAAGGTTGCAGACGCCGTATGCTGTAGCCTCACAACCTCGGACTGTGGCCGAAATAAAAAAGAAATGACAAGCTACAGATCTCGGCTATAATCTACTTGGAAATGGGAAATAGTTCAGCGCAAATGTCATTTCTTGCAGCTTTCTGAATGATTGAGACATAGGTCTACGTCATACGTTATTTTATCAAAAATAAAACAAACTAAAGGCATATGCATGAATACCATGATTCCGTAGCTAATGAAGACATTTTTACTATGAAAACTATCTATCTATCTATCTATCTATCTATCTATCTATCTATCTAATTGCATAAAATAAAACAAACTAAAGGCATATGCATGAATACCATGATTCCGTAGCTAATGAAGACATTTTTACTATGAAAACTATCTATCTATCTATCTATCTATCTATCTATCTATCTATCTATCTATCTATCTATCTATCTATCTATCTATCTAATTGCATCTATATCTGCTCCACCTGACGGACACATTGGCGAGAATATCAGTTTTGTACATTATTTCGTTCTGTTTACCATCTTATTTATGAGGATGAATTGTATAACATGCCAATATTATTGCAGAACATATTTCACTTTTCTTTTTGCAAATATGTGTTAATTTTGCATTTCTGTTGCAGGTCGATCAAACGGGTGTTCGTGTAGGCTGTTAATCGTAAGACTTGCTTTGTGAAGTCTTCGTGTTATTTATGAGAGGCAGAATTGCCATTTATTTTACACAACGGTCTACAGTTTCACACACTTTCACGTGTTTCTTCCATCTGCCGACGGTGTCGCCATTTCTCATTGCACCCGTTTTTGTGCGTACGCCTGGGTCAGAGCTTCCGTGAAGGACCCCACATTTTACCGTCAAGTTTGCTTTTTATAAATACCAATTATTGCGTAGAGAGCGGCGTACGCCTTCTTTTGTCCGTACGCAACGTTTATAAATAAGGCCCCTGGAGATTCTGCTCTCAGAAATGATCCTCCATCATCTCATATCATGTAGAAGATCATATTAGAAATGTCTTAGGAACGGATGCAGGGATCATTTTCTCTTGACATGATAATCACACTCTTCATGTCTGTTGATTTCCACAGTCAATGTCATCAACATTGTTCCCAGAACCAGGAACGACTTCATACAATGTAAGTCACTAATAAAACAAGCAGAAAAAATCATTGAGTGTGTTCATGTTCTTCCTGGAAAAGGAGAAAGAAAACATGACAGAAGAGTTTTAGAGTGAAAACAGGTTTAGAGTTGATCATGTAATAATTATTTGCACAGTATATCTGCTAAACTGTACTGAGACACTGACTGCTGATATATTGAACATGAAGAGTTCAGATAATTCCTGATTCTGATGTGTTTTCTCTCCATCAGATTCCCATCGGCTCACTCTAGATCTGAACACAGTGAATAAACGCCTCCTTCTGTCTGAGAGGAACAGAGTGATTACTAACACTGACACAGAGGTTCAGTCGTATCCTGATCATCCAGACAGATTTGATGATGATCCTCAGGTGTTGTGTAGAGAGAGTGTGTGTGGACGCTGTTACTGGGAGATTGAGTGGAGTGGGAGAAGTGTGTTTATATCAGTGTCATATAAGAGCATCAGCAGGAAGGGAGTGGGTTATGAGTGTGTGTTTGGATATAATGATCAGTCCTGGAGTTTGTTCTGCTCTCCCTCCAGTTACTCAATCATACACAATAACATAAAGACTGAACTCCCTGTAAAGCCCATCAGCAGGAGAATAGGAGTGTATGTGGATCACAGTGCAGGAACTCTGTCCTTCTACAGCGTCTCTGACACAACGAGCCTCATACACACAGTCCAGACCACATTCACACACACACTCTATCCTGGGTTTAGGCTTTATTATCCTGGATCATCAGTGAAACTGTGTTGATGAGTGAGAACAGACTGTAGAGAGATTCTACTCATAATGATTTGAGCTGCATGATAAATCAGTAACAGTGAGATGTTATATCTCTTATTTTCTCTTTATTAATTCAATTCACATTTATTTGTGTAGTGCTTTTCACAATAAACATCGTTTCAAAGCAGCTTTACAGAAAATCAATGAGTCCACATTACAATTTAGAGTCTTTTATCAGAGATAACAAAGTTATGAATTTCAGAAATGTACATTATACAAAATCACAGTAACGTAGCTAAAGATGTATTCAATTAAACAATGTAATAATTTAAGGAAGAAAAATCATTACATTAATACTTTAGCTGAACTTCTGTCAGTGAAATAACGTCAGAATAAATTAGCACAATTATTCTAATCTAATCCATTTCACTTTGAATTAATACTTAATCACATTGTAGGAGCCAAATGTAACTTGTTCAACCACTAGATGGTGGTGTACACCTGTTCAAACACATGGTTTTTAACTTCTAAACTGGGTTGAATCAGGAAGGGACAGGTGGCGGAAATATATGGTTCTTACCATAGTGCGAAATACGGGGGGGTCCCCCCCCCCCGATTAACCCATGAGACCCCCTGAAAGCCTCAAAAGCAAAATTTGAAGGGGGTCTCAAATTTTGTCAAATAAATAAATAAATAAATAATTTGTCACTAATGGTCACTAAAATGTTTTTAAGCTCCCCACATGTCCAATATTCAGAATTAAAAACATTTATTCACAATCACAATCACAAATATGTTTCTTTTTTGCCAAGCGGAGCCAGCCAGTCCTGTGCACGTATGCAAATTAGCCATATGCGCCCCCCAAGAAACTAGCAAGCGAAAATTAAACCAGAGTGTATCACTCACACACTTTGGGTTCACATCCAAAAAGATGGCACTCAGAGATGAAGAGGCACCGAAAGACGATACTGGTGCAGGACTCACTACCAGAACAGAGGATCCTCTCCCACTCAGCGACTCCCCAGAAGAACAACGATTAGTTGAGGCCGAGTGCTCCGAAGACGCAGCAGGTGCTGAGGTAACGATAGCTGCTAGTGCAACAAGTACAAGTAGGGTTGTGTACCGACTTTCCCATATAAGCCGGGACGTCCCGTATATTGGGCCTATCTATTATTTGTCCCGTTTATTGACTGCATGCCGATCTAACCACTGACTAATACAACAGCAACACGACACTTGAGCATTATCACGACACCGGTCATCATCCAATCACAGCCCATACTCACGCGCATCAGACCGATACGAATAACAAACTCTAAATTGAGAATGAATCATTCTTTTGGGACAAATCATGGTTTGATTTGCGAACAGAATACTCTGCTGTCTGGTCGATCCGGACTCGGGCTAACGGCTATCCCTTTCACTGTCCGGGTTTTGATTTCAAACAACGTGAATATTGTTCATGATTCCAACAACATCCATCCAGCCACGCAAGAAAACATGAAATCTACCTGAGGGAATAATATGCTCATGTGAATTTACTGCTCAAAAACATTTCTGATTTTATTAATATTAAAAATAAATGTCAGGATTCTTTGATGAATAGAAAGTTCAAGGAGATTTATCTGAAATAAAAAAGCTTTTGTAACACTATACATGTCTACTGTCACTTTTGATTATTTTAATGTGTCTTTGCTGAATAAAAGTATTACAAGGCTCGAAATTCCGACCATTTTGGTCACATGATATGCTTCTGAAATTGAATCTGTGCGACCTAAAAATATATTTGGGAGCATTTGTGCGAGTGCAAATAATGGTTGTTGTGGTGCGACCTGTTTTCATTTCTCTAAAAAACGTTTGCAAATTACTGCACAGAGAGAGAGAGAGAGAGGGAGAGGGGTAGGGGGGCGCACAGAGAGAGAGAGAGAGAGAGCCCCGGCCGCGCGCGCGCACTCTCACCGTCTTCAAACAACACGAGCGCTGTCTTGCTCTCTCCCTCGCACATATTAATAAAATTCAATTTACACTACAGTAAATCAATTGTAAAGTAAATCTCCTGAATTACCGCGGGTTGTGAACACATTCAGCTGACATAAACCACAATTTCAATAAACGAAAAAACTATCCAGTGATGGAATGTTTTCTGTGTTGACACAAATCTTGTGTGATGTTGTCACGGATGGGTGTGTAGATAGGAAGCACAAGGAGACGAGGAAATAACTATGAACAGGAATTTAATGAACAAGGCACTCAGGAGATGCACACATACCATAAGAACGTAACATATACAATAACCGACCAGGAGTGAGGGAGAACACTGGGTTTACATACACAGGGAATGGGTCATGGCAACAAGACACAGCTGGGGCAAATTAACTAGACACAGGTGGAGGAACTGAACACAAACGAGGAGCGGGAAAACTGAGACACAGGACTAAACCAAAACACAGAGACGGGGAAAACTAAGAAACACAGGTCATACTTGTGACATTACCCCCCCCTCCAAAAAAGGCGCGTCCTCGCGCTGTACAAAATCCAAAGGGGTGGGAGGGTGGGCGCCCTGGAGGCTGACGAGGGTATAGTTCCACGGGAATAGAAAGCCTCCAGGGCGGACTAGGCTGTGGATCTTGCCAAGGGGGAGCTGGACATGGACGTGGGCGTGGCCAAGGCGGAGCTGGATGTGGGCGTGGCCAAGGCGGAGCTCTCGGGTAACCGGGAGTCCAAGGTGGAGATGGACGAGGGCGTGACCACGGCGGAGCTTTCGGAACCTCTGGAGTCCAAGGCGGAGCTGGACGAGGGCGTGACCACGGCGGAGCTTTCGGAACCTCTGGAGTCCAAGGCGGAGCTGGACGAGGGCGTGACCACGGGGAAGCTTTCGGAACCTCTGGAATGCAAGGCGGAGCTTGACGTGGCCAAGGTGGAGCTTGATGTGGCTGTGACCACGGCGGAGCTTTTGGGACCTCGGGAGTCCAGGGTGGATCTATCCCTTCAGGTGACCATGGCAGTGCTGCCCCTTCGGGTGGCCATGGTGAAGGCGTATAGCCCCCCCCCAAAATTTTCTTGGGGAGAAGAACGGGTTTCAGCTCAGGCTCAGGAACAGTCTCTGGCTGGATGGCGGTCTCTGGCTGGACGGCGGTCTCTGGCTGGACGGCGGTCTCTGGCTGGACGGCGGTCTCTGGCTGGACGGCGGTCTCTGGCTGGACGGCGGTCTCTGGCTGGACATCGACGGGACGAGGTTTACTTGACTCGGCGGGACGAGACTCTGGAGGGCTGGTCTCGGCGGGACGAGACTCTGGAGGGCTGGTCTCGGCGGGACGAGACTCTGGAGGGCTGGTCTCGGCGGGACGAGACTCTGGAGGGCTGGTCTCGGCGGGACGAGACTCTGGAGGGCTGGTCTCGGCGGGACGAGACTCTGGAGGGCTGGTCTCGGCGGGACGAGACTCTGGAGGGCTGGTCTCGGCGGGACGAGACTCTGGAGGGCTGGTCTCGGCGGGACGAGACTCTGGAGGGCTGGTCTCGGCGGGACGAGACTCTGGAGGGCTGGTCTCGGCGGGACGAGACTCTGGAGGGCTGGTCTCGGCGGGATGAGACTCTGGTTGTACAGTCACGGCGGGGCGTGACTCTGGGATGATGGCCCACTTGGCAGCACGTATAGACATCAGCGGGGGTTCGGACACGCTGGAAATCATCCCTGGATGGCCATAAACGGATCCGGTGTCTGACCTGACAGTTGACACAAGTGCGGCGTTCAGATTCTCAGGCTGGGCGGGCGAGATGTGCACTGGCTCTGGATGGGTGGTTTCCTCTCCGTGAGTGTCGCAGGGCCCGACGGTAAATGGCGACCCATTATGGAGAAGCACCCACTCGACGAAAGTCTCAAAGTTCTCTCGAGGTCCCAAACCGGGTAGGTGTGCCTTAGTCTCTGCATTGAGGCCAGTGTGGAAGAAAACACTCAATGAGCGATCGGGGAAAGAGCTAAGGCATGCCAGGTCGAGATAAGCCGTGGTGTGAGCCTCGAGAGATTGCTGGCCTTGTTCCAGCAACATCAGCTGCATCGAAGCATTCATCGTTGATTTTGGGTCGGTTATTCTGTCACGGATGGGTGTGTAGATAGGAAGCACAAGGAGACGAGGAAATAACTATGAACAGGAATTTAATGAACAAGGCACTCAGGAGATGCACACATACCATAAGAACGTAACATATACAATAACCGACCAGGAGTGAGGGAGAACACTGGGTTTACATACACAGGGAATGGGTCATGGCAACAAGACACAGCTGGGGCAAATTAACTAGACACAGGTGGAGGAACTGAACACAAACGAGGAGCGGGAAAACTGAGACACAGGACTAAACCAAAACACAGAGACGGGGAAAACTAAGAAACACAGGTCATACTTGTGACAGATGTCCTATGATCATATGGTTTGTGTGTAATGTGACTTTTTTTGTATGACCTTAAAATTTGTTTTAGAATTAAATTATACATAAATAGGTTAAGCAAAACAAATGTGTTTATGTCTGAGAACCTTTTAAACACATACAAACCTGAAATGACACATAGCCTACTGTGTGATACAGTACAGATATGTTGAGTGTCCCTTATTTTCCTGTAAAGAACCACGATTGTCCCGCATTTTTTTTTCTAAGTTGGCAACCCTAAGCAGAGACTTGCCGGCTGGTTGGACAGCAAAGCAGGTGGGCGAATGGAAAGACCGCAACCCTTGGCTTGACATTAAGGCAGGAAAATTGGGGTGTTTAGTGTGTAGAAAAGCAAAAACGTTGCTACTCTCAGAAAAGGGACCAGGTTTACACCTCGCAGAAGAATGGATCAACGGTGATGTTACTAGCTCTGAAGCAAAGAGGCTGCGAAAGAAGATATACAAACACAGGGACAGCCAGGCCCACGCAAGGTCAGTGGACATAGCCCAGATGAAAGAGAAAGACACCCTCCCGCACTTTTTTATTGATATACAGTCTGATTTACTCAAGAAAACCACAGTTTCGTTCAGAACAGCATACACCGTCGCAAAGGAAAGGCTATCGTACAAAAAGCTCAACCCACTCATGACGATGCAGGAGCTTAATGGAGCTGAAGTTGGTAATATCCACAAATCTGACCATGCATGCGCAGAAATAATCAGTCACATTGCCAAGGAAATGCGCCGCAAATTTGTCTGCAATGTGAAAGAAAAGGATTCACGGGTGTCAATCACAATTGATGAAAGCACCATTCATGGCAGTCCCTATCTAATAATCTACGTAAGATGTGATGTCAGCGGTAAGGGGGATGTAGACAATGTTTTCCTGGATCTAGTGGAACTTACAAATGGGGTCGATGCTGAATCCATTTATAACTCAATGATGGCGAGTCTACATAAAGCTAGAATGGATGATGACTTTTTGAAGACGCACCTGATCAGCATTGCCACCGATGGAGCTGCGGTGCTCACAGGAAAAGCCAGTGGGCTTGTAGTTAGACTAAAAGAAAGGTTTCCGAACGTGCAGTCTGTTCACTGCCTGGCGCATAGATTAGAACTGGCTGTCAAAGATGCTCTTAAAGAAGTGGCTGGCACTAATCAGTTTGAGTTCTTTATTTCAAAATTATACTCACTCTACAATCAGTCAACCAGGAACGCCAGATTGCTTAGAGAAGCAGCGGCCGAGCTCAACGTGGAAATACTGAAAATAGGTCAAATCTTCACCATCAGATGGGTTGCCAGCAGCTTTAAAACCGTAAAAGCAGTATGGAAAGATTTCCCCGCACTAGCACTCCATTTCAAAACAGCCAGTGAGGACACATCACGCAATGATCTTGAGAGGCAAAAATACAAGGGACTTCTGAAGCACCTTGTTAACTCAGGATTTGTGGAAGATTTGGCTGTCATGAAAGACATCCTGCGTGAACTCCAGAGCCTGTCTCTCAAGCTGCAGAAAAGAGAAATGTCACTCGTGGATTCAAGTCTCGCCATCCAACAAACGATCAATGTTTTGGCGGCCATGAAGACGACTGGTGGGGGGAAATCAACCAAGAAGGCTGAAAAGTCCGTCTCATCTGGCCTTTTTAAGGGTGTAGAGCTGAATGAAGGCAGGGCGAAAATAAACAGGTCTCGGTTTCATGAATCAGTGATTGCGTCTCTAACTAAGCGATTACCGGAGTCAAATTTGGTCCTGATGCTCAAAGCTCTTGACAAGCGTTTTTGGCCAGGAGAGCAGGAGGACCTGATTTTGCATGGCGAACCAGAAGTACACAGCCTTGCAAAAGCACTTGGAGAACCAACCAGGGAGGCTGTGGAGCAGTTTCGAGACTGGAAACTACAGGGCACTGCACCGGGGAAAACATTGGAAAGACTGTGCATAGCAAGTCGCACGTATCTCCCCACATCAGCTGAGTGCGAACGAGGCTTTTCCGCAGTTAACAACACGAGCAACCAGACGCGCAACAGGTTGCGCGAAGACAGCCTCTCTTCACTCCTGTTTGTTGACCTCAACGGATCTCCGCTGGACAAATTCGACCCAGTTCCATTCGTCAGAAGCTGGATTAAAGCAGGACATCGCCTCTCTTCTTCCTGGAAACCAGGACGACAACCACAAGAAGTCGAGCCAAGGCATCTTTGGTCTATTTTAACTTAACCCTTGAGCATTCTCAATATGCAATATAACTGTTCATATCTGTTCTGTTACAGTTAGTAACTGAAGTGTAGATTACTTGTACAATTATGTAAAAAAAGAAGAAGACTGAAATAAATGATAAACTCTAAAAACTCAACTTTTCTCTTTGTAAACATCTTTTTCTGGTTTGATTGACAAAAAATGCTAAACTTTGACAGTCATTTTTATTGTTATAATTGTGATTTCATAATATTTAGATATGAATCCAACTAAAACTTGTGAAAAGGTACAGTTTCTTTCAGTTAGTCAAATAGCATAGTGGAGCTCTATAGCCATCTATTAAAACTGCATTTTCCAAAAGATGGGCAAATATTTGACACCAAACCATGTCAAATTATCCATGTTATCCCCATAAATTAAATTTAGAAATTTGGGTTAAATAAAAATTTTACATAAAAAAAGCTGTTTTTGTATAATTATTTTTTTACTTTATTTATATAAATTTAAAATATATCATAAATCCTCCAAAAATTTCACAAATGTAGAGTAAAAACATTAATAAACAGTAACATTACATTTGTTTAAATAAAAACTTATTTTGTTACACAATTACATTTTGTTATCAAAAATTGTTAAGCGTGTGTGTGTTGTCATGTAGGCTATAGACTGATTGTCTTGGCTTGCATCCATGAAATATTGAAATGTTATAGGTACTGCATAGAGAAAATTTAGATCGGTATTGCACAACAATCGGGAGATGGGGACCCCCCCGAATTTTGACGGGTATTTCGCACTACCATAGAACCAATGCCTTTTAAACTGTAACATACATCCCATTAAATGGACAACAAACTGTTCAAATGCATACAGCTGTGTGGACATTGTTTTAACTATGCGTGAAGAACACCCTACCACATTCCCTGGGCTTATAGGAAAGCCAATACACACATCATTACTGTAAATGTCCAGAATTGGAGTTTCTTTGATCAGTGTTTTATGCTAATTGTCCTGATCTATCAAGTAGGGTTTTGTAAGAGTGTTGTGGTTAATGATGTCAGTGTTTTCTTTCTATATCTGTCATCTGTCTCGATGCTGCTTGTTGTAATGAACACAAATAGTTTAATATACTTCACTTTCATCAGAGCAAAGAGAGTAAATGATGAACTGTAATGTTTCAACAGAGGATGTCAAACACTCTTATTAGCTTCTTCTGCATCTGGCAGCACGTTCACAGATGAGCGACCCATGTGATCTATACGATGACCTTTGACCTTTCTGAAAGATGAGCCAATCCAGCTGGATTATGATCTCTGACAGTATTTCTACATGTTAAGAAACCATAGATACACTAGATGTCGCCTTGGCTACGGCAGTTCATTGGAACGAATGCGTCAATAGAGACGCCATCTTGGAACAGAGGAGCCCCTCCTCTATAATGCATAAGCGTCAATGTAGGCAAAGGTCTAACGGAAATAAAATCACCATAAATCGTCATGAATGCGATTTTCTAGTTTTTTGGTTCATTCCAATGGTCAGACATGTATTTATCATTGAGTCCAGAGAAAATGTAAAACATTTATTTTTTATTTTTACATTCTTCCTAGTTCAGATTTTGTTCGTGTACGCAGGACCATCCATACGCAGCACAAAAGTCCGAAAATCCATGAATTCGAAGTACAGGCAGAGATAGCAGCGTTACCTAGCTACTTCCTATGACAAGACCCCTGTTCCAAGATGGCGGCGGTTTTGAAGCATGCTTAGAACCCCAAGGTGACATCCAGTGGCGGCTCCAGACAATTTTGATTGGGGGGGCAATGGGGGGTCCTGGTCATTTCAAGGGGGGGCTCATGAAAACCAACAAAAAATACAGTGGACACGGCTAATAACTGCATATTACTGCTACTTAACAAAAACAACAAAGCATATCAACTACTTTGTTCTTATTTAATTAATCAATTGCAGTTTGCAAACAATATGCTCAAACTTTAATTGCCATATATAGCCATACTCATGACAGAAAACATATTTACAAAATAGTATCTATTCTCATACTCTCATACCCTATTGATTGCCCTACTTCTGTCCAGTTTCCCCTTGGCATCTTCTCTCCTCTCTTCAGTCTCCACAGGTGTGATTTACTGCAACATATGAGTTTATAGTACACATGAATAGGTTAGTATTTATGCTAAATACAGTAATACAATAGCAATAGGCTCACTTCACTCACCAATATTGACAGCTCTTTTGTCCAGTCTCCTCCTGTCTTCTTCTCTGCTCCTCTTACTCTCCAGTCTCCTCCTGTCTTCTTCTCTGCTCCTCTTACTCTCCAGTCTCCTCCTGTCTTCTTCTCTGCTCCTCTTACTCTCCAGTCTCCTCCTGTCTTCTTCTCTGCTCCTCTTACTCTCCAGTCTCCTCCTGTCTTCTTCTCTGCTCCTCTTACTCTCCAGTCTCCTCCTTTCTTCTTCTCTGCTCCTCCTACTCTCCAGTCTCCTCCTGTCTTCTTCTCTGCTCCTCTTACTCTCCAGTCTCCTCCTTTCTTCTTCTCTGCTCCTCTTACTCTCCAGTCTCCTCCTTTCTTCTTCTCTGCTCCTCTTAACTCTCCAGTCTCCTCCTGTCTTCTTCTCTGCTCCTCTTACTCTCCAGTCTCCTCCTGTCTTCTTCTCTGCTCCTCTTACTCTCCAGTCTCCTCCTGTCTTCTTCTCTGCTCCTCTTACTCTCCAGTCTCCTCCTTTCTTCTTCTCTGCTCCTCTTACTCTCCAGTCTCCTCCTGTCTTCTTCTCTGCTCCTCTTACTCTCCAGTCTCCTCCTGTCTTCTTCTCTGCTCCTCTTACTCTCCAGTCTCCTCCTGTCTTCTTCTCTGCTCCTCTTACTCTCCAGTCTCCTCCTTTCTTCTTCTCTGCTCCTCTTACTCTCCAGTCTCCTCCTTTCTTCTTCTCTGCTCCTCTTAACTCTCCAGTCTCCTCCTGTCTTCTTCTCTGCTCCTCTTACTCTCCAGTCTCCTCCTTTCTTCTTCTCTGCTCCTCTTACTCTCCAGTCTCCTCCTTTCTTCTTCTCTGCTCTTCTTACTCTCCAGTCTCCTCCTGTCTTCTTCTCTGCTCCTCTTACTCTCCAGTCTCCTCCTGTCTTCTTCTCTGCTCCTCTTACTCTCCAGTCTCCTCCTGTCTTCTTCTCTGCTCCTCTCACTCTCCAGTCTCCTCCTTTCTTCTTCTCTGCTCCTCTTACTCTCCAGTCTCCTCCTTTCTTCTTCTCTGCTCCTCTTAACTCTCCAGTCTCCTCCTGTCTTCTTCTCTGCTCCTCTTACTCTCCAGTCTCCTCCTGTCTTCTTCTCTGCTCCTCTTACTCTCCAGTCTCCTCCTTTCTTCTTCTCTGCTCCTCTTACTCTCCAGTCTCCTCCTGTCTTCTTCTCTGCTCCTCTTACTCTCCAGTCTCCTCCTGTCTTCTTCTCTGCTCCTCTTACTCTCCAGTCTCCTCCTGTCTTCTTCTCTGCTCCTCTTACTCTCCAGTCTCCTCCTTTCTTCTTCTCTGCTCCTCTTACTCTCCAGTCTCCTCCTTTCTTCTTCTCTGCTCCTCTTAACTCTCCAGTCTCCTCCTGTCTTCTTCTCTGCTCCTCTTACTCTCCAGTCTCCTCCTTTCTTCTTCTCCGCTCCTCTTACTCTCCAGTCTCCTCCTTTCTTCTTCTCTGCTCTTCTTACTCTCCAGTCTCCTCCTGTCTTCTTCTCTGCTCCTCTTACTCTCCAGTCTCCTCCTGTCTTCTTCTCTGCTCCTCTTACTCTCCAGTCTCCTCCTGTCTTCTTCTCTGCTCCTCTTACTCTCCAGTCTCCTCCTTTCTTCTTCTCTGCTCCTCTTACTCTCCAGTCTCCTCCTTTCTTCTTCTCTGCTCCTCTTACTCTCCAGTCTCCTCCTTTCTTCTTCTCTGCTCCTCTTAACTCTCCAGTCTCCTCCTGTCTTCTTCTCTGCTCCTCTTACTCTCCAGTCTCCTCCTTTCTTCTTCTCCGCTCCTCTTACTCTCCAGTCTCCTCCTTTCTTCTTCTCTGCTCTTCTTACTCTCCAGTCTCCTCCTGTCTTCTTCTCTGCTCCTCTTACTCTCCAGTCTCCTCCTGTCTTCTTCTCTGCTCCTCTTACTCTCCAGTCTCCTCCTGTCTTCTTCTCTGCTCCTCTTACTCTCCAGTCTCCTCCTTTCTTCTTCTCTGCTCCTCTTACTCTCCAGTCTCCTCCTTTCTTCTTCTCTGCTCCTCTTAACTCTCCAGTCTCCTCCTGTCTTCTTCTCTGCTCCTCTTACTCTCCAGTCTCCTCCTGTCTTCTTCTCTGCTCCTCTTACTCTCCAGTCTCCTCCTTTCTTCTTCTCTGCTCCTCTTACTCTCCAGTCTCCTCCTTTCTTCTTCTCTGCTCCTCTTACTCTCCAGTCTCCTCCTGTCTTCTTCTCTGCTCCTCTTACTCTCCAGTCTCCTCCTGTCTTCTCCCCTCTCTCCACAGGTGTGATTTCCTGCAACAATTGTGTTTATAGCACATTAAATACAGTACAATTTAAACCTTTTAAAATGTAATGTAAGGAGTGTACTCACCACTTAAAAGAGAACAATTCGCCTGTTGTTATGATTGGCTGCAAAGCGATCAATAACAACATCTACATCCATCTCTTTAGTTCTTCTTGAGCTGATTGCCAGCACAGCAAGATTGCTGGTTCGGACATCGCCACTTTTGTTTCTGAGGTAGGTTTTTAAATGCCGTAAGCAGGAAAAGCTCCTCTCACAAGCAGCTGTTGATACAGGCAGTGTCATGGAGATGCACACAAGTTTGTATAAATCAATGAAAGCCTCCTTGTATGGCCTCAATAGAATCAGCAAGTCATGGGTGCTGTTGAGAGAGACCCCATTTTGTTTTTTTCTGTCAATGAGGCGTTTCAGTTGATGTAGTTCTGCTGAAAGGTTGTCATCTAATATGCCATAGTGCCTAGCCATGGGTTGAAGGGCATCTTGGTGCAGGAAGGTCTTGTGTTTGGGATTAATAGCTGCAACTCCTTT